CCCCCCCCCCTCTCTCTCTCTCTCTCTCCTCTCCACTTTAGGTAATACCGGAGAAATTCATAGGTTACGAATCGCGATGGCCTTTGAAATTGTTTCTTCCGCAGTAATTCCTATGTACACAGGCTAAATCCACTGATGCCGACCTCCTTTTCTCGTTGTCAGGCAAAGGAAAGTAGTTAACCATCAAGTGGAAAAGTCCTATAAGTGTATTTAAGCCAAATTGCGTTCCGCGAGCCTGTTTAAATAAAATTGCGACTTCTTTGAGGGAGCGGAAAAGAACTTGTCGTTTTTGTCCTACCTTTCCTTTCTTCTTTTGTCTCTTTCTGTATTTTTTGTTCGCCAATACGTTAACGTAAAGAACGTCTACCTCGTGTTGCATAAGCCGACCCTAAGTGCGTTTCTTGCGATCACTTTATTACCTGCGGGAAAATTTAACTACATCTCCGTGGAATATTGATGTGTTTTCTTTACGCTATCGGGCCGACGGAATTGAAATATATTGCCTCGCGCGCTTTTAATATTTCTATCGTGAAATCATGAAAGGAACATTTTTTGTAACGGATGAAATCATTTTCAAGTACGCGCACGCGGACGTCGAGAATGTAGCGCGACGCAATTGAAGTGAAATAAATAGCGAGGCTTTCTGAAAGGCGAGTGATAAAAAGACCGTGAAGGCGGGCATCGCGTTAGTATTCGCAACAAATTTCACTTTCCGTCAAGCTAATGGGATATTTTTCAGCGCGAAGCGACACGAGATAAGGAAGTACTTCGAAAGAGAAATAGGGCGTGTGCCGCTCGCGGGTCGACCTCGTCGATCCAAAGCGATCTGCTCAATATACCATCTGTTCTTCATGAATGAAATATTAAAAATACACTAAACAATAGCGGGATAATGCCGAACGAAGTTGCGCATTGTTACACGGACACAGTGACGATGTCGTGACTTATGGACGGAGACACGCTTCTAAGTTTCAAAGGCAGAAACTCGCTTGTTTCAGCCCATCGACGAGAAATCGAAACTTTGTATCGGGCGGTAGTGTTAAATTCAAACTTAGAGAGCTGCCGTATAGTGTTTTTCTTCTCATTTTGTCAGCTCTCTTTGTAATTCACGGGAAAAGAATAAGACTTTACGGCGACAGCTAATCACGGTTTGCTGAAAAAAAAAAAAAAAAAAAATATATATATATAATATATAGTTTGCCGCAAAAAAATTTGCTGCTGTTGCTATTACTTTGGTTTCATAGCTAGATACATGCTTACTAGCATACTATATTTTTAGATATCTATATGTTACAATGTAATTTAATTAACACACATAAATTTTTGCTGCAGTGGCAGCAACTCTTTCTTTCTCTTTGTGTTTATAATGTAGCACAGATATATCTCTCTAATGTTTCAAAGATAGGCTTAAAGAAGGAAAATGTTAGAAGAAAGTATCTGTGCAATCCTTTTCTCTCTAGTGAATCCACTTTTCGTTATTGTGAAAGGCCAGAAATAGATCTCGCACATGTGCGTCTGACGCACGCTAATTAATGGTACGCGCTTGCGCTGAGAAGTTCGCGTCTTTTGAATCAGTTCCGTTTCAAATATACGAAATGGAACGAACACCTACATGTAAATTCAATGTGACGCGGTAGAGCGCGATTCTACAAACAACACGGACGTCCAAATAACACTATTCATTGTTGTTTTTGTTGTTATTATTATTATACTCTTGTAATCAACGATCGCGCGCATTCGCAAAGTAAAGACTGCACACAGACCAGACAAAAGAGACTGGCGATGGTAAAACCATTAATTGTATTAAAAATTCGACTGACTGTCATGTTATATCAACAGTATCAGTTTTCGGACGCGCGTAACGATATCGCGACAATTATATTTCCGTTAAAATGAAATACAGCACGCGCGTCGGTTTTCGCCGTTCATCTTTTTCATCCATAGAAATGCCGCATTGTATATCGTCAAATGCAGATTCCTTTTTCAATCGCGGTTTCTTTGTACTTTACGTGCGTCTGTGCACGCGTCATCATTAAGCTTTTCCCCGCCGGATTATTCTAATTTGTTTACCAGCAGTTTGCACAATGCATTAAAGAAGATTTAGATTTGAATTTGCAATTTAAATCAATCGAAATGCATAGATCACGTGTTACAAAGCGGAATATATTCTGACATTTTTGTCGATTGTCACCGATTACTGTGTAACGTAATGTATCGCTAATGGAACGTCAACTGCAATGCTCGACCGCTCAACAATTACAATATCCCAGTCGTACGGTCAGATCGGTCAAAATTGATACGTCGCGCAGTTGCACGATTTTTTCGTTAAATCTTCTCCGAGTTTTTCACAGGCAGACTCGCGCGACACAAGATACTAAAAAGCACTTAATATAAGACGTTTGCCCCTTTTTCCGAATGTTGTCCGGTACGCCGATTTGTCCCAATTTATCCCAGTTCAGAAGATTTTCCAAATGCTCCTGACAAGGAAAAATTTTGTCGAGGAAATTCACAGCTCTGGCACACGATAGTTTTGCTTCGTCTTCTCAATTTTTTGCAAGAATATAATAACAATTTTACTCTAGCAATAATTTCAATTTTTGTTGTATCCAGAAGGCCTCCGTTGTTGAATTATTTTACATCGATTACATATTCGTATTCGATTATAATCGTGTTATAACCGATATATATATATATATATATATATATATATATATATTCTGCGATTCTCCGCCATCTCATTCCTTGGATGCCGATATCGTCACGACGAGCGTATCCCCGTTTGTTTTATCCGATCGCACAGGACATGATTAATTGCTAACGTTATATCGTTAGCATACCGTCCCGCGAGCATCGCCGCATTACCGCCGTGATTCATTATTCAAACGAAACGAAAGTTTTCGCTCCTCACGCTCCAAATGATCCTTGGAAATATGGATATTTTCAAATATTGGGCCGTTCCCACGCATGCATATTAATAAATCCCGCTTCGTCCGAGAATCGAAAAGTTGTACTGTTACAATGCTATTATTACCGCGCGTGTAGATCCCATCGATCGTTCTGAATTTATACAGTGCGCAAACGAGAGGCTCGTAATTCGGCTGACGCGACTCGGTTGAGCCGCTTAACCGTTTAGCCGCAAATTCGTTGTTTTCGATTGACACACAGACGCGTGCTTGCGCCGATATACTTGCGGCGATTTTCGCGACGCATACGGCGTCTCCCACGCGATATCGAGCAACACCTGTGAGGATCAGATATCAGATTCATTTGCCGTAAAGAAAATTAAAAACGCGTTTAATTAAAGTAGCCAATCTGGACTTATTTTCCTCGCCCTTTAACCGGGCGCAAATCCTGGGAGTCGAGCGAAATTAATAGTCAGCGGATAACCCGCTTTTAATGCTCGGATACATCGCGGCCGTCACGAGCGATGCACCACTTTATAATCGACGTACTGTTAACGCGTCGAGTTTCAAATCGGCTAATAAGCGAGTTCGTTAGCGCGTCGAATGGGCGATTCTTTTCTCGATAGGAACCGGTACGCTCGCAGCACCGGTCGACCGGCTTAGCTCTCAGCCGGCTGCAAATGACCCGTAATCGGATCTCACGGTTTGCCGATAGCCGGGCTACTATTTTTCCACGTCGAGGAAATTTCTCGGCGAGCGAGCGCTTCGCCCCACGCTCCTTCTTTTCGAGCACGTCTCCGATGAAATCTCGTTGGAGCGCGAGTCGGATAATGAAATTACCAATTGGCAACGTTAATTCCGCCGTCGCGTCGTCGTCGTCGTTGTCGACGTCCAAGTGCTCGTAATCGCGCGGTGAAATTACCGACGTTCGAGTGTTACTCAACATCCCGCGCACATCGTCGAGATCGAGTCTTGCTCTTCGCAGAGCATTCTTCGGCGCGACTTTGGAGCGAGGAGAATCCTGACGTGCCACGCGCGATCACGGTAGGATACACCCGGTTGCGCAGATGGGTTACCTTTTCGAAATCTACGCTCTCATTTGCGTATCGAAGTGGATGGAGATCCGCGTCGTCGCCCGAATCGCGGCCGAGTGAAATTTCGGCGAAACTCGCGCGCGCGAGAAAAGCGCAAGTGAAACGATTCACTTCCGGCGAAAATCTCTCTCTCGCGGCAGTTCACGATCTCACGATCGCGATTTCCAGCCTGATGATGAGAACTTACTTGGAGCGTATTCTTTCCACTTGCGCGAATCTTCTTCGATCGCGACAAGGCACGAAACAAATCCTATTTCTGACGGAATCTTATCTGACCTTTATCGTCCGCAACTAAAACTTCATAACTCGTTACGTCCAGAGGAGGGAACGATTGGACATAGATAACGAGGCATTACCTGTAAGCAGTAAGGGATTTTCCCCGTAGGCAATAACGCCTACGCGCAAATAAGTTCGCGAGATAACGGGAGGTGAAGTTCGTTAGACTATCGCGCGAGGAAACTCGATGCAGACGACAATTATTCGATCGATCGGGGCGTTATGCATCGATACGTCGCGTGAAGTTATCGGCCATGAGATTATCGTATCTAGACTCGATCAATTTACTTATCGCGAATCGTTTCCAGGAGAGAAGTCGCGGATATTTGGACTCATCTGACTTACATTTACGTAACCTTTGACTCGCGTTAATGTTTCGCACGGAATGCGGCTCGTTCGCTTGACCTTGGTTACACGTGGTCGTCGAGAGAAATTAATCTCGATATTCCGAGCTGTGCTCGTCGACGCACACCTCTGTGACTAGAAAGTACGAACACGATGCTCGCCGTTTTTTGCTCATTCCCGCGACAACGACTTCTCGTGAACAATTCTTTACACAAGGCTGCAATTAGCAAAGCGATACTTCCGGAAACTTGCCGCGCAACAGTCTGCCGTCTCAGTGGCGTCGTGTCACGATGGTGTTCAATCTCGGCAGGAAGAATGACTTGTTTAGTGGATGCATAATTGCACCGATCTCGGCCGGGGCGAAGTGTCTTCCTAAAGTCGCGCAACTCGCAAGTGCAAAAGCGTGTCTTCTCGTAGTCGATAATCGCCTCTCTCTCTCTCTCTCTCTCTCTCTCTCTCTCTCTCTCT